AGCCCGAAAATGCAAATCAACAGTTATTTTACAACCAGTCACTGTTTTCCTGTTTGAATCTTTAATATTTAGATTGAATACTGTTCATTGCCATGCTTATTTTTATACTTCTTTAAACTATTTCAAGTGTTTCAACCTCTAGAATCAAATAAAACTCTTCTTTAGTCTCCCTCTACAGCTATGAATGTGTCTACAATGCCACTCGTTTGCCAATGTTCAGCGCATGCTACCAAACTTGGCGCAACAATCGTGATCAATTCATGCACATTCAGGACTATTGCGCGTGAGTTTCATTAAAATGAGCTCAAAAGCTAAAATGATCAAAAAAATGATCTCGGGCGGGATCGAACCGCCGACCTTCTGTGTGTTAGACAGATGTGATAACCACTACACCACGAGACCGTTCTTTGGGGGAGGGAAGAGGGGCATTGTCAAGTCCTTTGGCAGGAAATTTCTTTACTGGAAACAAGTTGAGTAGTTGCTTTAGAGGATAACATTTAATTAGACTTTTTATTATAATAATTAATTAAATTATTAAATTAAACAAAGCTCATTTTAAAAGCTTATTTTAAAGCTGATTTTTTCTTTTCAGAGCAACGGCTATTTACATGCAATGTGGCTATGATTCGGTCGTTTCTTACGGATGCAATGCCAAAGACGATTTGGTAATGATTTTGCGCAACAAATCGCTAGAAATTTATTTGAATAAACCAGGATCACAGTTTAGAAAAGAGATCTGACAACTAGACAAAACTTTTGTGATATTGTTGACTCGAAAAGTTATCAAAAATTTCTTTAAATGCTTTGCTTAAGTTTTTGAGGTCTTAAAGTGCTTAAAAGTACTTTGATTTGTTTGAAAACTTTATAAAAGCTGATTTAGTAGATTATCTGAGTTTTAATGGCAATAGTTGGCAAGTTTTAATAGCAGATAAGTCATTTTAAGTTTAATTCCAAATTCAGACTCCTTTCTATCTTTGCGAAAGCATTCGAATGGGCAATGGACGAATCTGCGCCGGGCAACCAAACCAAAGATGTTATGTTTAAGTAAAAAAAGGCTTTTGTTCAAATAAAATTTCTTTGAAAGCAGTTTTTCCACAATTTTACTATGCAAAGGTACGCAAAACTACAGAATTACAGCTCAGCTCAAAGCACCAGCAATCATTTCAAAGAATGACAGTCAATTCTTCAACACATCCACACTTTGAATTTTCTAATGTACAAAGCTACAACATCCACTTTTTACTTCAAACAAAATAAAGATGATATATGCACGTATTTGTTCGTTAGGGGTCCTTTTATCCTAGCTAGGGTTGGCTGTGATTATCTCAATCCATCTCTTCACCTCTCTCATCCAGTCGGCATCCCCCTTCACCTCATATTTTCCCTCATTTACTGGCTTTGGAAGAATAGATTGTATCCAATCGGGTCCAAGCACTGAAGGGTCTTTAGTGGGGGTGCACGGGGTAAGGAGAGGGTCAGGTGCGGGGTGTCCGGCTACCCACCTGTCGCCTCGCCGCCTTTCCCTCCAGCTTTCCAGCGCTGCCAAGATTTTCTCGACGATCATACATTTTCTTTTTTGGATTTGACAAGATTTACTAGTTTTAGTTTTCGCTTCTTTTTTTGATAGTTTTCTATAGCTGTTAGTGTATTTGGGTAAGCAGATTATCTTAAAAGTTCAAGCAATTAAAGTCAAATGTTGGAAACCACTATTGGAACTATTTTGATTATCATTCGACATTTGACATTTATCGGAACGGGGGCCCCGCCCCTGTCATTGGCAATCTAGCTTTGAGCTCAAATTTCTTGGTGTTAAGCTGTCCAATCTAAACATTCTTGGTATCATTAGATGCACCAAGGCTTTCTCTAACGATTGGTACAAAAACTATTTGAATTGAACAGTCAAGCACCAAGGAATTTGAGCTCAAAGTTGCAAAGGGGGCGGGGCGCGTATAAAAGATCCGTCGTCCGGCCTCTATTGCCATTAGCAATCCAACTTCGTCGGCAAATTTCTTGGTGTTGGGCTATTCAATTTAAACATTCTTGGTATCATTAAATGCGCCAAGTCTTTCTCTATCGATTGGTACACAAGCTATTTAAATTTAACAGCCAAACACCAAGAAATTTGAGCTCAAAGTTGGATTGCCAATGGCGATCGGGGCGGGGCAAATGTCCCACAGTCAGTAGCGAATACCGTACACAAACCCAATCTTTTTCTAGCCCAGTAGCGCAATTTCCAATATATCTTGTTCTAGTGTTTACTTATTTATTGCCACTAAAACTTTGTTCCATAAATCATTCATCCACAAACTTGATTACAATCTAGTCAAGGACCCACTCGAAAATTCCCATATCGAGGTACTCATTTCGAATCTCGGCTTATTCAGGTACACAATTGACATGATCTGACCTAGGAGAGGGTAATAAATCCGTATGGGGCTTGAGATCCTCATAGGTGAAGAGAAGAGAGGCACTGCCAATTACGGTGCCTTGACCATAAGGGGTGGACCCTCTGTTTCCCAGTACCAGCTTCCAGTCGACCCTCGTCTCTTTCTTCAATTGGCAAATCGACGGGCATTTTGTTTTTCCGCTTCACCTGTCCTCCTTGCCAATTTAGCATCTTTTACTGGATTCTTTTGATTTGTCATTGATTGATCTACGTTAAAATAAAGTTCCTCATGTTCTCACTCAAAAAAACTATCCTTTCATTTAACTTTTCTCCTTCGAATTCACAAAATCTCATTTTATACACTTTCCAGGAAAGGAATGGCTTTATTGGTAGCAATTTGGTAGTAATTTTACTTTATTTATAACAGTTTACTAATAATAACGGTCAGAATGAGATTTTTTGTCTAGAAATTATACTTTTATACTCACAGAATACAGTAATACGTTGTCAAGGAGCTAAACTAAATAACCTGATCACATCGATCAATTTATTCAGTTTAGCTAGGTTACAAAATAGTCTACAAAATTCTAATACATTTGTCTTGTTGTAAGCTTGATGGTTTCGAACATTAATATCAGTCTTTTTGTCTTACTAATGTTTAATGTTATTGAGCTGTGGAGAATGCGCCGAAAATCAAAGAAATTTCTAAAACTTCTAGCAAATGATATTGTTTTTAAAACTTTGTCAAATGATACGCGTTTGATATCAGTAGAAAGGTTAACTAATTCCCTACAAAATGACATTTAAAAGCGAACTCAAACAGCGCCTCAGCTCAACAAAAGGCCATTTTTTTTTACAAAATCTATAAACTGTCATCTAGAGAAAACGGTTGAAGGGATCTTCCTGAAAATTTGGGAACTTATGTAATTAAGTGTGCTCTATCTTTTTTATGTAGACGCCAAAGAAGGTTTATTTGAAGGAAACTGTTCAAACGATGAGTCGGACTCTACCATTTTGACTAGCTGTGTTTGGGAGTCGATAAACTTCACGAAACAAAAGCTTTGTGAAATTTCTAAAAAGTCATTTTGTAGAGAAATAGTGAAGCCTTTTAGTGAAACAAAACTTGTGTTTAAGGAAGGTTTTATGCGTACAAAAAGTGTCTTTAAAATTCGGCGCCAATTCTCTTATCTATTGTATGTTTAATCTTCAAGCGTCAACACTAAATATTTTTTAGTTTAATCAATAAGTTGAAAAGTTTATGCGTTTCACGGTACTTATTGGCTATCTTCCCCAAAAAAGAAACCACAGCGGACCGAAATGTTTACCGTTAATTTTTATGATATTGTGGTTGAATAAATCAAAACTCTAATGAATTCGGATTCCAACAGGAGACACGGTGGGAATCCCAATGAGCGGAGAGGAAAGATAACCAATAAGTACCATTTTCACTATGAAACTTTCATAACTTTCGACTAAGTTGATGAAACCTGAGTTGCTGTAATCAAATTAGTCTAGAAATTTACGGTAGACCGAACAAAATCAAATACTTTGACGTAGAAATGCAGTTGCCATTTTTTAGTTGTCATTTTCCGTGTACCCAAATAGTTGAATGTGTCAGAAAGGGTCAAAAGACTAAAACGAAAAACTAATCCGACTTAAAAACAATTAAACTTTAGTATAGCTTACTTTAGTATTACCGTATTTTTTTTAATAATAATTCCCCCCGGCAACCGGAATTTGGAAATTTTTTTTTTTTTTATTTTTCCATAAACTTAAAAACCAAATCCCACTCCAACTCCACTTCATCAAAAAAAAAAAATATTTTTTAAAAAAAAAAAAAAAAAATAAAAAAAAATTAACCCCCATTTAAAATTAAATAAATAAAAATTTTTTTTTTTTTTTTTTTTTTTTTTTTTTTTTTTTTTTTTAAAAAAAAAAAAAAAATAAAATTTTTTTTTATTTAATTATTTTTTTTAAAAAGGTTTTTTAAAAAAAAAAAAAAAAAAAAAAAAAAAAAATAAAAAAATTTTTTTTTTTTTAATTTTTTATTTATATATATTTTTTTTTTATTTTTTAAAAATTTAAACCCCAAAAATCCCTACTCTTTCTCCCCATTTTTTTTCCCTCCCCCCCCCTTCTTTTTATGGGTAGGGATGGGGGTTTATTAAGGTTGGGGGGGGTGTGGGGGGGTCCTCCAGAGGAAAAAAAGAGGAAATTAAAAATACTTTAGCGGCAAGCATTTGTGACTTTCCTTCTAATCATTTTGCATTTTGCTAATCATTTTGCATATCAAAAAAAAACAGATTTACCGATTTCATGTTGAAATATTTTAAGAGATTTTAAGACTTTTAAAAAAATTTCCGTTTTTTTGACCCAAAAACGGCTGAGAAAAACCTCGTACAGACGGACAAACAGACACTGCTCTTTTATATGGTTGATGATATCGATCAAAAACGTTTCAATGACCTTTTAGAGACTTCCGTTCTTCCATTCATTTGAATCTCATTATCAAATCGACTCTTGACCTTGACTTATTCAAATTTATTTTCCAACTCATCTATTTTTGTCCATCATCAAGTACATCAGTTTTCTTTTAGAGCAATTTGTTTTCTCGATGCTTTTGATTTTTCTACTCTTGCTTTCATTTGAAAGCGTTGGTGGGAAAGGCTTTGGTGAGTATTTTCAATAAAATTTGATTTAAATTTAGATAAACTGAAAACAAAACTCTCCTTTAGCATTATAAACTTTAAATTTTAGTCGAAGAAGTGACATGCAACAATGATTCGTTGACAATTTTCCTTAATCAATCCGATCCCGATTTGACGAGATGGATTATGGGTGAGTAGTTAAAAGAAGTAAAATATTTGATTAGTTGAAAAGACAGGGATAAAATTGATTGTTGCTTCTTTAAGGCCTTTTTGTTCAATCCTTAAAAATGGTATTGAGTGATCGGTTTGAATTTCTAAAGGTTTCTAAAGATTTTTAGGTTCTAAAGGCAATTGGGAACTTAAAAACTTAAATCGAGATATCTGTTGAATATTTATGGCAAATTTTCAGCTCTGATTTCTAGATATAAAAAGGATATGATGGGTTAAAATATTAAAACTAAAGTTCATTGTTCATTCATTGATTATAAAGCAACAAACAAGACTTGAAGGTTGACGGATGAAGCCTTTGAAAAGTTTTTGAGAGATTGGAATCGGTAATTGGGAGCTCGAAAGATACTTTTATTATTGGACAACTGCTCGTTCTTGGACAACGGCTCGTTCTCGAATTCAATTCAACAATATTAATATTAAACTGCAATTCTTTGTACCAAATGCTTTGTACCAAATGCGACTTTAGTAGTTCAATCTTTCAAGGAAATATTCAGAAATTCAAGGTTCAAAATAAAGGAAAAGCACCATGATGAAGGAAAAGCACAAAGATGCTCTTATTGGACAACTGCCATCATCCTTGAATTCAATTGAACAACGTTAACAATATTAAACTGCAATTCTCTTGTACCAAATGCGACTTTAGTAGTTCAGCCTTGCAAGGAATTATTCAGAACTTCAAAGTTCATGAAGGAAAAGGGCCACGTTTTGAAGCGTTCAGCCATTTGATGAAGAACCAATTGACCAATTGATCACTTTTCCATTTGCAGAACCATCTGCTCAGCCAATCATCTACGTCTACGATCACATCAACATGCGCAGTTGCAATTCGAAAATCAAGAATGAGACGACGTCGTTGAATTGGTATTTTCGAATCCCGTATGGACCGGAGTGCAATGTGAATCTTGTGGACTTGGTAAAGAAAATTGTTGAATTAAAACCCAATCCAAAAACTTTTAGGAACCCAATCATCGATCAGCCGAGACAACCGTCGTGATTGAAGACTTGAACTCGAGAAATTCCCAGAGGATTAATCATGTCTATTGTTTGTATCAAAAAGTGACAGCTGCACTCAATATCAATGATGTGACAAGGTTAGGTTTTGCCCTTAAAACTCAAGTATTTTTTACTACAAAGTCAACCAGTAACTTTGCTAACTGAATATCAGAGTTTTTTAGACTTTTAGAAGATTTATTTCAAACTAAATCATTAATAACAATAAGTTTTACGTACATTGATTTATTTTGAACAGAGTATTTTGGATCTTTCACATATTTTGCTCTTTTTCTCCGTCTCAATCAACTTCTGCATAACACCCATAATTATGAGCTCAATGAACCGTAAGAATTGAGTACACCTGTACGTAAATCGATTGCTGCCCATCTAGGAACCAGTCAAGGAAAAGATTTTAAGAAGAAGACTAAGAAGACGAGAAGATTTCGAAGATTTCGAAGAAACATATAGTTAGCATTTTTATTTACTTAGAATATACTCAAAACTTTGCTCTGTCAAACGTAAGTTTTATGCAAATCATGCTGAAGTTCGATAACTTCAACAAATTCACTTGATTTTTGCGTAAGCTATCCATTCAGTTTGTCTAAAAACGTTCACAAGCAACCGATTTACTTAAATTAGAAATCAAAATGAAGAAAAATGTCTAAGGGTCATTTATCTAAAAACAGATTAAAGAAATATTGAGTTTAAAAAGAGTTATGAACCTTTGAACGCAAATTAATTCTCGGATCACCGGTGACCCGGGAAATTTCTCACATTAAAACATTCTAAACGTTCTTTAAGTTGAATATTTCTTTAATCTGTTTTTAGATAAATGATCTGTGAACATTTCACTTTATTTTGAGCCTTAATTTAAGAAAATCGGTTGTCTGTTAACGTTTTTAGACGAGTTGGAAGGGAAACAACTAGCAAAAATTAAAAAACCTCGTGGTGAATGTGTTAAATACTAAGAAACTAGCTACCGTAACTACTGTAATAGTACCCCACCCCCATAATGACGGTGCGGAGCGTTACGTAGTCTAGCTTTGAACGAGTTTTTCTCGACGCTGGTTTATGCTACAATGAGCGCTTAGGTATCAAAAAATAGCCCTGAATTTCAGCAATTTTTTGATACCAAAGACGCATTTTTTGAAAGTACGGGCGCTTTGGAAAAAATCAAATACTAAAAAACTTTTGCGACTACGCGACTGTACGAGGGGGGTGGGGTACTATTACAGTATTTACGGTAGGTCTAACCGTAGACGTAATATTACAATATTTCAGTGGAAACAAGCAAGTCGAATCAACGGGTGGAATCCCGAAAGCCAAAGTGGAGATGCTTTTTCGTGGACACGGCGGGCATCCGTTGAGGGCCGCCAAGTTGGGCGACATTGTCGAATTCTACGTCGCTTTAAGTCCCGATGGTGGGTGAATTCTCTATGGAAACAGTAACCCTTTAAAGACCATTTCAAAGTCAAGATTAAACCTTTTCAAAGTCATAAAATCATTATCAGGTGCCTACCGAGGAATCTCGCCCAAAGAGTGCCGCTTCGCTGATCGCGAGGACACCGAATCGCCCGATGCTAAACACTTCACTTTCGTCAATGATGGGTAAGTTGAATGTAGATAAAAGTTTAAGGGTTAAATTTCTTAGGTTTAAAAGATTTCAAATCCAATTCTAAATTTGAAAAATTAAGTTTAAAAGATGTTTTGAATAAAGAATGAAAAATGTGAATTTCAAATTTTTCAAATTCAAATGCAAATTGGTTTAACTATAAAGTTTTTTCAAATTTGGATAAGCAGTTTGTCATTTTGAATTCGAAACTTCAATCTGTCATATTTTATCTGTTCTTTAACAAGTAATCCAGTTAATTTGTATTTAAACAACAAAAAAGCATTTGATTGTTTAGTAGAGTTGAAGTTGAGCTGGCAAATCAGCTCGATCTTTAAAAATCAAATCTTAAAGTAGTAGGATAGATTTAGACTAACGAAATCTCCATTTAGATGCCCTGTTGAAGGAACGGGTGAAGTGATTGACGCTCTGCAAAACGTGAACCAAGAAGTCTACTTCTCGAAGTTCAAAACCTTTCGTTTCGGTGAGCAGACGACCGTCTTCGCTCACTGTACCGTCCAAGTCTGCATGGATCCAGAAGAATGTTATTCGGTAAGTGTTTTATATGTATGCTTTTCGTTGGTATCTTTGTTTCTGATGATACAATTTGAGTAGTTGACGAAGTTGATTTAACAGACAAAATATTGGACAATCTTATTCGAAACAAAAATTCGACTAACGAATTCGACCAACGAATTTGACTAAAGAGAAACAATCCAGTGAAATGGCGGACAATTAGAGGCCCGAGAAAAGGTCCACACTTTAGAAAACGCTTAAGTTAGCAAATAAATAATCTAGATTTTAGCCTTGTTATAAAAAGATCCAAAACTCAACCCTGACCGCTGAGAGGCTGAGAAAATATCGTCACAAGAGGAGCACCGGAGAACATTATGATGTGAGTTGGATTGAAATTGAAATTGAAACTTTGCAGGCATTCAAATGTGATATTTTTAGATGAATTGAAATCTGTTTCTGAATGTTTCTGAAATCTGTGAAGTCTATGTAATTGAAAACTTTTCAGAAATCTGGCGAGCTGCATTTGATCAATCGAATCACTGTACTCGATGCTGGACATTTAAAAGAAAGTAAACGTATTTTGAATTCAACTAAAACTAACACAACGAACACGTCTAACTAGCAGTTAACCCCCGGCTAAAACAAATTTAGAGAAAGGCAACTTCGAGAGGCAACTTTTCCAAATCTGAAATCCCTTTAGCCGTTGCTTCCAGTTTTAACCTGTCCGCCTTTGTCATTTGCTCAATTAAGATTGCTGGGCTTCTAGTCAGAAAATAGACTGAAACTAAAGACGATTAATATATGAAACAATTTAAAATAAACGCTCTAACTAGCAGTTAACCCCCGGCTAAAACAAATTTACATTTCAACAACTAACCAGGGAACCTTCCCAAGTTACCCGCGAGTTACAATATGAGGTAGGTGCAAAAAGAAAGGCCTGAAAATGTACGTTCAGAAACTGTTTTCAAAAACCGCTAATCGGCAAAACGCACAAAGTTACAACCATTTGAATTTCGAAAAAATGAAGGCTTTTCTCGAATTTCTGGCACACTGATTTTTGCCGGCGGAAAGGCTTTCCTTTCGCCATCCCAAAGTGCAGCTCGTAGCCTAGTGGTTAGCGTGCCTGCGCTCGGAACTATTTGATCTTGGTTCGGATCCGCTAGCAGTAAAACTTTTTGCTTTTTTTTGAAAAACATTAAAAAACCTTTTTGATTGTTAGAAATTTGTATAATGTATTTAATGATTGACAAGACGAGTTTAAGCGAGGTGTACAGAACTCGTTGAACCATTGGATGTTTACTTCTTTCAACCATTTAAAGGCGTAATGGAAAAATTCATGATCACATTCGAGCCAGCGACAGCTAAGAGTTCGAGAGGCAACTTTTCCAAATCTTTTCTTTCTTTTCTATCTTTTCAATCTTTTCCAAATTTGAAATCCCTTTAGCCGTTGCTCCCAGTTTTAACTTGTCTGCCTTTGTCATTTGCTCAATTAAGATAGCTGAGCTTCTAGTCAGAAAATAGACTGAAACTAAAGACGATTAATATATGAAACAATTTAGCATCAACAATTAAGGAATTTAATTCATTTCATACTTTAGTTGCTGCCTTGAACGAAAAAAACGATAACGATGGATCGAGTGAGTGCAAGATGGTCCCATATTCAGCCAATTCAACCATGTTGACTGTGATCGCAATTCTCACCGTTTTCTCGCTTTCCTTGATGACCATCATCATCTTTATGTACTACAAGAAAAGAAAATCGGAAAAGGTAGTCAAGAACAATTTGTAGAACTAATTTCAATGTACAGGGTGTTCAGTATTTACGACGTTTCCTTTTTGATAGATTAGCTCCCAAGTTCAACCCTAATTTTTCAACTGTTATATACAATAATAAAGCTCTGAATATTGGCTACATTTATCTATTTAAAGTTTCCCGATTGGAGATGTACAACTCATTTTACAAGCCTTTGAATGAGTACTAGTTGATTCCTCTTCAACACGCTGTCATTTTTCGCGATTTTCATTAGTTGTCAGTTGTCAGAAAAAGTTTTTCGATATTTATTTGATGTTAGAATATTATTTAACACAATTTAATAATATTAAGAACTGGTTTTTTTTAATTGATTTTTTTACTCAATTTTGAATTGAAGTCAAATTCCTTTGAGGGCGCAAGGAAAAAAAATGAAAATTGAGTATTTTTTTGATTTTTATTTTATTTGTACTACATTTGTACTACTATCTACTGCTATCAATTTGTTCAAAATAATTTTTAGATTAAATCCCACAAATTTGGCCAAAAGAAACTCTTCTTGATTGAAGAATTTTTGATGAAGAAAATCGCCAAAAATTGGATCAACTAGTACTCATTCAAGAGCTCGTAAAATGAGTTGTTTATCTCCAATCGGGAAACTTTAAATAGATAAATGTAGCCAAGATTCAGAGCTTTATTATTGTATATAACAGTTAAAAAATTAGGGTTGAACTTGGGAGCTAATCTATCAAAAAGTAGTCGTCGTAAATACTGAACACTCTGTAGGATTCATTCGACTTGTATGCTTCGACCGGTTACGCGACAGCCGCCAGTTGGGGATCGACCTCGGTTGGTCATGTGAATGCGTGAGTTTTTGCAATTAATAGTCAAGATTCTATAGTCCAAATGGTTCTAGAAAACTTGTAACTCAAAGATTTTTGGCTAAAGCAGTAAAACCTAAAATGCTGAAGGCTTGAGAGTACTGAATTTGATTGGCTTGAGAAGTTAAAGCCAGTTAAGGCCAAGGGCTTTTCACAAATAAGTCAAGCCAAGCCAAAGTTAAGCCAAAGGTAAGCCAAAGGTAAGCCAAAGGTAAGCCAAAGGTAGGCCAAGGGTAAGCCAAAGGTCAGCCAAAGATTAGTCAAAGGTAAGCCAAAGTTAAGCCAAATGCAAGCCAAAACCATTCCAATAGTCCATTTTGCAGGAGAGGATGAAGAACTGGATTAAACCTTGAAATCAATAGTAAAGATATAATTTGAAGCCAATTTCAGAGCTCTGGCCACTCCGTACCCGATCGACGCATTTTCTGTCCGAAATCATCCCTATGTGCATCATTTGGGCGATGGCGATGGAACTTTTCGATAGTTTTTGTCTTTGTATACGATAAAAACTCATTCTTTAGCTTAACTAGCCCACCATTTTACAAAAGAACTTTTGTGACTCCTATTTCATGAGTTTAACTTAACAGTTTCAAATAAAGTTAAAACAGCCCTTTCCCCAAATCGTAATCTTTTGCAATTTTTTGTTTACCAAAAAGTCTTTTGAAATTGTTTTAACGTATTTTATTAAGTTTCACATTCACCAAATATTTGGTCAGAATTTAAAAACAATCCTAAGAACAATAATTTTAACACCTTAGCAAAACGCAAGGCTTGGCATGCCTTGCGTTTCCTCGGAAGGCGAACAACCAAGAAGAAGCCGATGTTGAGGGTCTAACTGAATGGCAGAGATGTTGGCCCTGACGGACGCAGAAGCCTTTGCTGAGCTTTGCTGAGCAGAAGCCTTCGTCCTTTGCTGAACTGAGACGGCCAGCTAGCCGTCGATTGGCGAATAGGCGTCGAGCCACCAATCGCCCTCACCACCAAAAAGAAACTACCAGCAATAATGCAAACACTGATGACAAGATGGACGACGGTAACGATGTCATTCTACTTCTATGGCCTCGAGTTAAAGAGGCACTAAGGAGGATCAAACACGAACCAATGAAAGATGCAGGACTTGTAACTCGGCAAGATCTTACGGCAAACATCCACCCACAAAGAGAAAGCCTCTCGTTTGTGCCGTGGCCACTTCCGGGGGCCGACGTTGCCACTTCCGGGGGTCGACAGAATTTCTCGTGGTCGAGTTATCGGGACAACAGGATATCGTCAATTTGGCAAGGATGTCTGTCTGTATGTGAAGGCCAGCTTGACAAACATTTGTGGGTTCGAAACGCAAGGTGTGTCAAGCCCTGCATTTTGCTGGGATGCTAAAATTGTTGTTCTTAGAATGCTGTTGATGTTATGTTGTTCTTTAAATTCTGACCAAATAAACTGGTGCATGTGGAATTCAATAAAATACGTTAAAAGAATTTCAAAAGACTTTTTAGTAAAAAAATAAAAAATAATAAAAACCACGAAACTTTCAAAGGACCACAATTCAGGGAAAGGGCCATTAAAACAGTTAAAAACTTTGTAAATAAATTCTTTGTAATTTTCTCTTTTCTGCGTTTTTCAGTGTTGCCTAGCTTTCATTTATATTTTCATATTTTCATATTTTCATTTGTACAATGATTTTACGTGTTCAGTAAATAAAGATTTTTCGCAAAACAAATTTTAAAAGTCAGTTTCCGTTTAAAATGTATTCTAATGTTAAAGCTTTGGTAACTTTTTACTCAAAAAAACTCTGTACAAGACTATGAGATAGACTTGTGTTTCGGTTGGCTCTTTTCGGTTTGGTTTCGGGTCCGGTTCAACCGAAGTCAACCGAAATCTGTTGGTTCGATTCGGTTGAACCGAAAAGCTGAGGTTTTCCGCTCGGTTCGGTTTGATTCAACCGAAAAGATGAGTTTTTCGGTTTCTTGTATCTTAGTATTAGCTTGACATCCTTCATTTTTTAGAACAATTTTATACATTTCAGACTACATTTTTCATATTCTAAACAATCAAATGATTTAAAAAATCTCATAGAAAAGAGATTAACAGTTTGAAGGCCTTAATGAAAATGTTCCAAGATCTGACATCCTTCATTTTTAAAAACAAAGCCAAAACGTTTGCTTCAAAAATCTTTTAAAAATCTTTAAAAATCAAGAATGTCGGATTTCATACGTGCCAAACTAGTATAGGCTTTTTACTTTTTCGCGTAGTTCTGGAAAAGTTGATAGTTGGCATATCCGCTTGAGAATGATATCCGGATCTGGCACGAGATTGTCGACCACACTTTGGGCGACAGTCACGGCCTCGAGAGCCCCAATTGTCAACAGCTTCCACATCACCGAATAGAGCAATTACCTTAAAAAACGTTTAGTTGACATTTGTTTCTAACGAGAAAATTTCGCATCTACAGTATATTGTAGTAATAAAAAATGGCCTACCTCATTCGTTAGAGCTAAATCTGTAATTAGTTTTTGGTAAATCGTTGAATAAAACTGAATTCGGATCAACTGAATTAAGTGCATCTTTTATTAGGTTGGTATAAAAGAAATGAGCGTCGTGTTTGTTGATTTGTATTTTATTCACAGTAAAAGATTTTTAAAAATAGTTTATTCTATTGGAAAGATTCTCTATTCTCTTGCGCATCGTTCGATATATAATTTGTCTATGTTTACTTTGTTTTTTTACAAGAAAGAGTGTTTAGAAAATGTCGGTCCAAAAATTTCGCTTGCGGGCTTGCTTGTGGTATGAATTTAAGCAAGGCAAATCGGCTGCTGAAGCTCATCGCGCTCTATCTCAAGTGTTTGACGAAGATGCTCTATCCGAAAGTCAGTGTAAACGATGGTTCCAGCGCTTCCGAGACGGCGACGAAAGCTTGGAAGACCAAAAACACGGGAGTCGACCTCAAATCATCGACAACGACGCATTGAAGGAAGCCATTGAGTCGGATCCACGCCAAACCACTCGCGACCTGGCAGAACAGTTCAGCTGCACTCATGTCACCATTGAGAACCATCTGCATGACATGGGCAAGACGAATAGATGCGGAAAATGGGTACCGCATAAGCTATCCGACGCAAACAAGGCGACACGCATCGCAATTGCCGGAATTCTCACTCACCGCGCCAAGAACAGTGGGTTTTTCGACTCCATTGTTACGTCGGATGAGAAGTGGATCCAATACGACAACACAGCAAGAAAGCGGCAGTGGTTGGACCCCGGTGAAGCTCCAAAACCGACTCCAAAACCGGACATCCACGGAAAAAAGGTGATGCTTTGTGTTTGGTGGAACAGTTGGTGTACTTTGAGGTTCTGGATTCGAGTCAAACAGTTACGGCGAACCTCGACCAAGGCCAATTGGACCGCGTGGACCAGGCGCTGCGACGTCAAGGTGTGGATACGGCGTCGACAAAATTCCTCCACGACAACGCTCGGCCACATGTCGCAAAAATCACCCAGCAGAAAATTGAAGAAATGAGCTGGGAAGTCCTGCCTCATCCGCCATACAGCCCAGACTTGGCGCCTTCCGACTACCATCTGTTCGGACCAATGCACCACTCCTGGGCCGAGAAAAAGTTCAAGAACCGCGACGAGGTCCAAATTTGGGTGTCCAACTTCTTCGAGTCGCAGCCGGTCGAGTTCTTCAAGAAGGGCATCCATTCTCTGCGTGAACGTTGGCGACAAGTCATTGATGCAGATGGCGAATACCTTTGTATGTAATGTATTGTTATCTTGTTTTTATAATAAAATAAACTTTTAACGAAAACGCGCATTTCTTTTTTACCAACCTAATATAATATTTCGAAAACCAATCGTAAATTGGAAAATCTTGTATCGACTGAAGCAATTAATTGGTTCCAATTAGACTAAACTTCATCAGAAGACATAAATGCAATAGATCTGAAGTGAAATGTGGTAGCTAAAGAAACGGCCCATTTAAACACAAATCTGAGTAGATAAAATTCGTGACGTAATCGAACATCGTTTTCCAGGGGCACCTTTAATCCGTGTCGCTCGGGTTGGCGTTTGAAACTTTGTGAGAGATGGAACAAGATGGAACAAGATGGAACAAGTTTTTGTTGCTGCCGTCGGGAACAGCGTCGCAAAAGATTTGATGCAGGCTGATTCAAAGTCCGACTAAATCAAAATGCTGGACAAATGTCGCTCGGTATTAAACTAAGATTGATAAAATTACCACTTTGATGGTGCCATCGCCAAACAATTCCTTGATACCCCTTAGCTTGTTTTTGGTAATCGGTAAAGTTCTTTGCGTCTAAAGAAGTAAATGAAAACTTTTTACCTTTCAGCTATGTCTCTATATAATATTTATAAAAACCTTTAAATAGAAATCATCAAGTTTCTCTGGAGACCGGAATTCCGTTGTTCGTGCGCCAATGTGGTCATTTTATAATGCGGAAAATTTTGAAGTATAGACGAAAGAAAGCAGAAAGCAGAAATTGCTTTATTTGTTCTTTTGTTGACTTTTTGACCCACTCTTCAATCAATTTCAGAAAATTTTCAACAACGCGGTCTTTAATTTACTTAAAAAATTTAATCAATAGTTATTTTTTATTCAAATGCGAACTTTCACATCATCAAATGCCCTGTCGCATGCATCTTTCAAAGCAAAAGTATCAATCCAACGGGATAACCCGTATTGACCAGGATTCATCTAAAACCCTTATAAATTAAACATTGAATCGTAATTAGAGTTAATTTGGTGATCAGATTTGGGCGGGAATTTCGAGAAATACTGTGAAGTGAAGAGATTCACCGTCTGATATCTGTGAAGTGAAGAGATTCGCAAGATGACCAGTGCTTGTCATAAATCTTATGATATCCCGATTAACTTCATCAGAAAGAAAGAAAAATGGAAGAGTGATTGCTCAATCACTCATCCATCTTCCGGCTCGTCTGTTAGCGCCAATTGAAGAAAAATTAAAAAACAAAAAGCTTCGAGTTTCATGAATTTCGTGTGGAAGTGATCACAAAGTTCTATTTTTCAAAAATTCTCTTTTTAAAGACGTAATCTGTCGTTTTTGAAAGGAATCAGCAGAGACTGACACAATTAGTGTACAGTTATTGATAATGCTGCAAATGCAAATGCAAAGTGACAACATAGTTCTATGTTCTTGTTTAGTTTTTAGTGCGAAAACTAAAAACAGCTTTGATCATTTTTAAAAACAATTTCAAGTAATTTATGGGCAAAGCATACACAGTATTTGTCATAATTAGCTTGATTTTCTTAATCATTCATAAAAAGACTTTAAAAAAGAGACTTACTGACTGATATAACATCATTAAAGCACAAGAACAAAAAGAAGCAAAAAAAAATTGATTGTAGTTTTCACCGAGTGATAGTTGGCGATAGTTGGCGAGATTTGCGTTGTATGCTTGGGTTTGGGGTTCATCGAAGTGAAATTTATCCGAAATAGATTCCCGTGCATTGGC